GCTTTTAATCCACTGCTTTATTATGTGCCAACGAGAGTACTCTGTACTGTGAAGAATCCTTACCTGCATACTTACTGTCTGAGTCTGGAAGTCTGCAGCACCGCTGGGGAAAAGTAAGCTTTTAATCACTGCTTTATTACCTGCCCAACGAGAGTACTCTGTACTGTGAAGAATCTCACCGCCATACTACTGTCTGAGTCTGGAAGTCTGCAGCACCGCTGGGGAAAAGTAAGCTTTTAACCCACTGCTTTATTATCGTGCACCAACGAGAGTACTCTGTACTGTGAAGAATCCTCACCCGCCATACTTACTGTCTGAGTCTGGAAGTCTGCAGCACCGCTGGGGGAAAAGTAAGCTTTTAATCCACTGCTTTTATATCGTGCACCAACGAGAGTACTCTGTACTTGAAGAATCCTTACCTGCCATACTTACTGTCTGAGTCTGGAGGTCTGCAGCACCGCTGGGGGAAGTAAGCTTTTACCTCCACTGCTTCATTATGTGCACCAACGAGAGTACTTTGTACCGTGAAGAATCTTACCTGACATACTTACTCCTGGGTCTGGAAGTCTCAGCACCGCTGGGGAGAAGTACCTTCAACCCCCCTGCTCCATCATCGTACATCGACGAGAGTTCTCTTAACTGTGAGAAACCCTTTGGTTGAATAAAGATTGTTACTCTTTGAAAACTTGTCTCTGTCTCCGGGTCCTCTGTTGTGTGCCTGTGGTGTCGGCTCCTCACGGTGGTGACTCAGTTAGAGGGGGTGGTTGGTCACCGAGCGTTCCTCCCTCGACCTGTTCATCAAAAGTGGCGTAGTCGGCAGGGTACACACCGTGAGTTGTAGCGGCCACAGGTACGCGATGGGGACGAAGAGGCACCTGCGGCTCGTCCTCAGTGCATGCTCTTCATGGGAGCTCCCTGGGCGCAGCGCTATGGAGGACCGGGATCGGAGTTAAGCTTACATGATTGGAAGGCGCAGACGGAGTATCTGGCTGGACTACAGGGACTGAGTGCAGCACAGAGAGTACAGTTTGTGTTGGGGTCGCTGGAAGGAGAAGCCAAAGGGAAGTTCTGGCTGCATCGGAAGCCACACGTGCTCCGCAAAACTATCTTTCGATTTCTTTTCGGATTATATTGGAGACTCCACCCCAGTGGCCACTCTTCGTGCCCAGTTCTTTTAACTATAAACAGGGGCCTACGCAGACACTTCGGGATACTCCTTGAAGTTGCGGGAGCAGTTTGGCTGGCTGAAGGGGCGACCGGATCATGGACTGGGTGAAGGGGATGACTTGTTACGAGATCAATTCGTCTTGGGGCTGCGTGAAGGGCCAGTACGTCAGGGCATACAACTCCAGCTTCGACGAGACCCCACTATGACCTTTCGAGGCTCTGCGACAAGAGGCCTTGGCGTTAGAACTGGACCAGGGAGAGGTAACTCGCACACCAGTCTGTGTGGCAGCAAGTAGTGCCAGTGGACCTGCGCCTGTCGAACGAGCGATTGGAAGCAGAAACTGAGGGCCGAACTGTTGGAGGATGTCAAGGGACAGATGGCGGAATTATCCCGGAACCTGCTGGGTGAACTTCGTCGAGGACGAGTTGAAGGCGGAGCAGTGGGGCGAGAGAGGTCATATTCAGAGGAAGGGCGAGGTCCTCTGCGCCGCCCCCTACGCCCTGTGGGCCCCCGGTTCCAGTGGAACGACCAAGGAAGGCCCATTTGTATAAATTGTGGAGATCCTGGACATATCAGTCGCCAGTGTGGGCTTCGTCGGGGTTCTCAAGGGGTTTTTAGTTCCACCGCCACTGTGGTCAAGTGGCCGGGACCCCTTTGTGTGACCCTTTTTCTGTTCCTGTTGCACGAGATGACTGGTGGGACATTGCCCTACCATGGAGGTTCAAGCTAAATGGAGTCACGATAGACTGTTTGGTTGACACAGGGTCTCAAGTTACGCTATTCTCGGAGAGCCTGGCCCAGGAGTTGTTCGCAGATCATCGGCTCCAAGCAACTGAAGCTTCCAGGCTGACCCTACGGGGGGCAATGGTTTGGACATCCCTACACGGGGTACATCGTGGTGAGACTTCTTGTCCGAGGGGTCCCGTCCAACAAAAAGGGGTAGTTATTGTCCGAGATCATTGCTTGGGAAATCATCGAGCACTTTTAGGGATGAACGTTATACTGGATTGCTGGGAA